CCTGTATTTGATGCGATCGAGCATGATCGCGGCCTGACTGCCGGTGCCAATCGGCTTAGCTGAAGCTGGACGACTCTCCATTATCTCTTGACATCTGGGCCCGAGCAACGGGGCGTGCGTGATTGCGGCGACGCTCCGAGCTCCACGTTTTCCCTTGGGTCGGGTGGCCATGTCGCCCAAGCGCAGTGCCAAGGACACAGAACACGAGTGTGTGAAGAGAAGAAGCAAAAAAACAACACCTCTTCGTCTAATTATAGCGTATGTCAAAATGGACCGTTGAACATAAATAAAAGTCAGTCATTTCCATTCTCCATTTTTTTTCTTCTTTTTTTTTTGAACTTGGTTGCTGGTTTTTTTTTTTTTTTTTTTTTTTTTTTTGGGCACCGTGCATCATGGCTGAATTTTCAGCATTGATGGAGCAAATGAAGCAAATGCAGCTCCAAAGCACAAGCGAGGAAGAACATCGCCACATCCAAGCTCAGATCCAAGCTCTCATTGAGCTTGAGCAGCAGAAGCTGGCCGTCGAGGAGCGCAAGCTTGAGCAGCAGAGGCTGGCCGAGGAGCGCAAGCTTGAGCAGCAGAGGCTGGCCGAGGAGCGCAAGCTAGCAGCCGCAGCCGAGGAAAAAGCAGCAGCACAGCTCAAGCTCAAACGGAAAACAAGTCGCGACAAGGTTCGTCGTGTTTCGTCTCGATTCGTTACAACAGACAAGGCCTGCTGCCTCTGATGCTCACGTGGTCCGGTTGACAGATTAAGGTCTTGAAGGGCATGTTTGCCAACCTTGGGCTGCAATACGAAAAGGCTTTATGGAACAAGTTGATGGCAATGGATGATGATGATTTTGAAGCATTTGTCGACGAAGTCGACAATATGCCCTCTGCCGAGAGGATGAACGAAGTGTACCCCCTGGAAGGTGTGTTTGTCGTTACTTGGCCCCACATTACGTCTGCACTTGGTCATTACTGTACCCCCGCGCGCCGACAATCAATCAGCACTTGTCAGGCAAGACTCACGCGCAGGATCGTCTTTTGGTTTACATGCGTGTGCAGGCTTCACATGGACACTGCTACCACCGTCCGAGTCACGTGGCCAGATGCCTTCAAAGGCGCCCTCACAAACCTTGTCTCTGACCGCTGCAAACGAACTCCTTGGCACCGTGGTCGCAGAGCTTCCCTGCAGCCACCACTACCTTGCAGCGAAAATTGCCAAGCGCATTGATGAGCTTTGCGCGGATGGCCAGTGGAAGAGCAGCGAGGCGCTAATGGAAGGTCTTCGGTGGGCGGTCAAAGCTCAACGCGACTCCCAGATGACTGAACTCCAGCAGGAGCCCAGCATTTCTTCGCGAGTTTCCATTGTGTTGCAGCGCTACTTTGGCCTGAATGTTGTCCATCAGTACGCCATCGGTTCCTACGGCACCCACGTTGATTGGGCGGGCTTTGACGACAACCATCACGTTGTCGTCATGGGCGAGTGCAAAAAGCAGGAGCAGCCGTTCCAAGAATATGGGGGCCAGGTTGCCAACGAGCTCTTGCGACTGGGGGCCATTCCAACGTTGTATGAGAGCAACAGCGACATATCGCTGACTCGGCGGAAGGACATTTTGTGGCCCATCATCAACATCAACGTGGTGGGAGACAATGTCAGCGCCTACCTGGCTTTGCAAGTGATTGATGTTCGATGGGAGCAGTTTGAGGGTTGCCTGGCAGAGATTCTGCCATTGCTCGAGATTGACAGTTCGAACGCGAAGCCGAGGACATCGGGGCTGTTCTTTTTGCGCCTCGGTGCCGCAAATTTTAAAGAAGATTCGCGGCAGGTAGAAAGCATCTTGCGAGCTTGCAAGGAATTTGTGCAAGGGGATTTGGCGCGCTTGCTGGATAGGGCAGGTGCTCAGACTCTATCGCGGCCACGGCTGCCTCCACAACCATTTCCTTGCCCTTTTGAAGACCTCGACAAGTGGAATCTGAAGGATTCGTATGGTCCCAACGTGCAGGTCTACAGCATCGGG